CACACACACACACACACACACACACACACACACACACACACACACACGTGTATCCCTACGCCCTGGCTTAGTGCCACTGTGACACACACACACACACACACACACACACGTATCCCTACGCCCTGGGTGAGTTCTGTGTGCACTGCCTCCCCCCACCCCCCTTCCGTTTATCCCTACGCCATGGGTGAGAGCCGCTTGGCGCTGCCCATTCCCCATGTATCCCTATGCTCTGGGTGAGTTCTGCGTGCACTGCCTCCTCCTCTTCCCCCACACCCCCCACATATCCCTACGCCACGGGCGAGTGCTGCTTGGCGCTCCCCATTCCCCGTGTATCCCTACGCCCTGGGTGAGTGCCACTGTGCCCCCCACCGACCCCCCGTAGTCCTGCGTGAGCGTTGGTGCATGCCCCTCTCCCTCTCTCCACCCCCCCGGGGTATCCTTGCTGACTGCTGCCCCACAGTGCGCCATGGGTCTGTCTGGCCTGCAATCAGCTCTGTGACAGCAGAAGCTGCTGTGGGGCTGGGAGGTGGCTCTGGGCAGGATGGGGCTGGCTCTGTGCCCCCTGCCGGAGGGCGGCCTAGCTAATCCCCCTCCCGCCACCCGGCTTCTCTGCCAGCTCTCCCGCTGCTTAACGCCCCCTCCAGCGCCAGGTCTGACGGACCTCTCTGCTCTCCCCTCCAGCCATGGACACCCTGTTCATCCCCCTCATTGTGGGCATTGCCAGCGCCCTCTTCACGGGCATCGCCATCCTCGCCACCATCACCTGCTGCTTTATGAGGCGGCTCCGCAAGAGGTGAAGCTCTCGGGAGACCGGCCCCAGGGCGCTGCAGGTGAGTCGGCCTCTGTGCAAGGGGCGTAGGTGGGGGAGGGAACTGCTTTACGCCCCTTCACCCGCCCTCTCCTGCTGGGGGGTGCCATAGAGCAAATCCAGGCTCCTCTCCCCCAGGGGCTTTGCTGTGTGCCCAGGTTTTTCTTGGGCAGCAGATTTACTTCCTCCTGGGGCTGGGAGAACTGGCACTGCCAATATGGATGCGACTCTGTGCGCCCTCTGAAGGGACCGGGGTAGAGAGGATCCGATGGGAAATGCTGCATCCATGATCCTTCTTGGGGCAGCTCTGCTCCATATTGGTGGGGGTTCTTTGATCCCCGACACACAGCAAGACCCCCTGCTCCCCCCCCCCCCAACTTGTGCCCACCTCTGCCACTGTGTGAAGTCCCAGGGGAGCTCCAATCCAGGCCCCCTTGAGCCAAGCTTTCGGGGCCGGGGGTGGGAATCAAAAGCAAATAAATGATTTGCATCAAGTGCTGCCCCTGGGCCTGTTGTGTTACAGTTTCAGATCACACCACAGGCAATGTTGGAGAAATCGGAGACTAAACAGATTTAGTCTGCGTGTGGACAGGAAGGTGGGTCTGAGTGTCAAAAGCTGGCCCTTAAATTTGTGCGTGTCTGCTGCCCTCTACTGGATGGATTCAGATCTACTCCATTGTGTGTCATAAGCCCCATACTGCAAACAGCTATTGGAGATTCTCCTTTAGCTTCAGTGGCAGGGTTCTGGGTTCTAACTGGACCTGTTTAGAAATTTTCTCTCAAAATGTCTTTTTGACGGAAAATGGAGTTGCCACAAAACCAAATGTTTCTATGGAAAAACTTTGATTTTCCTGAAACTTTTGGGGTTTTTTTCCCAGTCATATAAATCTCAACAAAATACTTTGTTTGGGATCCAATTCCACCTGAATGGAAACATCTTGGTTTGTTGAACTGAACCAAAATGTTTTGTTCTTTCTTCCAAATCAGTTCAACATTAAAGTGCATCTTCCTGTGCTGCCGTGTTGCCTCATGGGAGTTGTAGTTCAGCCACAGAGTCCGCCCAGAGGGAAGAATGGGGGTGTGAGGCACCTGAACTACAACTCCCATGAGGCACCGCAGTGGTATAGGAAGATGCCGTTGAATATTGAACTGATCTGAAACACAACGTTTTGCCATTTCTTTGAACTTCTGTGAAAAACTTCAATATTTTGACCTCTTGATTCAGGACCAAACACAGTTGAACTATTAGTATTTCCCAGGGGACGAAATCTTTTTCCCTGCGCAGGTCTCATTCTAACCCAACTGGCCACGGTTCTTTGGGGTTTCATTGTCCAGCTGCCTTCTGATCCCACCCTCTCTCTCTCTCTCTTTGCAGGTTCCTGCTCCATCTCGCTCTCCTGCCAGCCTTCACTCAAGTCACTGGGCTCCCTTCCCCCCCCCCCTTGTGACTTTTGACCTCTCACCTCCATGGACCGGCTTGGGCAGCATTTCAGCTCCTCGGACTGCACACTGGCTTCCTCCTTCATTTGAGTCATTCCATTTTTTTTTCTAAACTCAACCCAGATCCAGGCAAGCCCCTGGTGGGAGATGGGAGAGACCCTGGGTCCTGCATCAGGGCCAAACGTTGCCAAGAAGTCGATGCATCCGTCTGAGACATCCAGGCTGGAGAGGTCCCTCCCCGGAGGACATGAGGGACAGTGGCACTGCCTCATCTGCTCCTGGACTCGCTGCTTCCCTGATCCTTCCCTACCCTGTCTCTGTGCCCCAGGGTGGGAGCGTGGGGGCTGCTTTTCCCTCTGCTGCCAGCATCTCTACATCCTCCACCCCCTCTGTCTGTAACCCATTCTCCCCTCCCCTCTCTCATGTGTTTGGCTCGGTGAGGGCTGTCCTGTGGATCTAGACATGCGTGGACTGCAGTGTGCGCAGAGAAAGGGTGTATCATTCCCTAGGGGAGTGGCCCAGTGGCTCTGCTCTGGAGAATCTGAGACTTGATCTACTGGAGACCTCAGAGTCAGTAACGTGCTTGTAGCCGATAATGTGGACAACAGCCTGCTACCGCTGCCAGCTGAGGGAATTCCTCCTCTAGCCGGAGCAGTAGAGCCTTGTGCTTTAGAGCTGAAGGTCCTGGGTGCAAACCCTGCTGATGACCCATGCTGGGGTCATGATTGGGTGACCTCAGGTGACCTGAGAGAGGGGAGGGGTCTGCTTTTGTGTAAGAGAAGAAAGGGACTCTAATGCCAAAGGATGGGGGCTCAGGCCTTGCTTGGTCCCCCCTCTCCCTTTGGGGTTTTAATTGCACCCCAGCTCTGCCTTCAGGAATAGCCGAGTACTCTACCAGTGGCTGGGCCTGCCCCCAGAGCGGTCCCTTTGCAGCCAACGGGCCGCATCCTGCCATATCCCTCATGCTCACTGCACCTGTGCTCTCAGGCTGATCTGATGGCATTTTACACTGACTGCGAGAAATCCTGGCCCCCCTGAACTCAATGGAAACCCCCCCATGATCTGCAGTGGGGCCCGGATTTCAGCTGTGGTGTAAACAACGGCAGAATCCGACTCAGGTGTTTCTGTTAAAGGGACACACGTAGCAATGGCCACGGAGTTCGGGTTTGTTAAATAGATCCTAAAACCGGATATCGGTGGAGATGGGCTAAAACAATTGGTGGCAGGTTTTTAATGAAACCTTCCCCCAGTCCCTGCAAGAGGGAAAGTGCCGAAGCTGGCAAGAGACGTGCCAAAGAAAGGCGCTGGGCGGCGGGTGAGAACCGCCGCCGGGCTGCTGGCGTTGCTTGTCCTTTATCCTCCCAGGTGCTTGGGAGTTGCCTAGAACGCCGGGCTTTAGAAAAAGAGCAGTTGGTTTTGATGATGTGGTTTTAATGTAACAGGCACACGACAGCCAGGCTTTTCCAAAGCTGCCTGGAATGTCGCTGTTCAAACCAGGGCAATCGGCCATGCACGTTCCTGACACGGTTTAGAAAAACCTCTGCCCATGTAATGGTCATTCGTGTGACCGGTCTTGGCACAATGGGGGGTTCCCCCAAATTACGAGCACAGAATAGCATGTGTTGGGGAAATAACACGTTTAGACAGATAAGCACTATATAGAGACAGCCACTGTACATAGGTGTATAAATTATTAGTCTCTTTTTAGAGATATAGGATCAGATCCTTATCTGTTGTAAATCAACATAGCTCCTTCAAAGGGACCCCACTTGGCAGGATCGAATCCTTGCTGTAAAGGGCCAAGCAGTCTGGCCCTGGTGCAGCAAAGCCCTTAAGCATCTTCTTAACTTGAAATCGGCCACTTGTTCCATTGAAGTAAATGGGAGTGCTCCTGTGATTACAGTTAAGCACATGCTTTGCTGAATGAGGGTCTCTAACCCCAGCAGAGGGTCTGATCCTGTCTACACACCTCACTATACCGAGATCTAGATCTATTTAGTAATGACGGTGTGGTGTAAAATCCCTAGAGATCATCCCAAACCTTTAGAACCGTGTTATGTTGCAGATTAGAGAGGGGATCCGTTTTCCGAAGCTCAGGGTCGATGTGGAATGTTTCTAGAAAGTCTGTTTTTGAACATTTTCCTTTTTGGCGCTCTTGCTAAATTGGGTAGTAACCCAGCCTGGGGACAAACTTTGGTAGTGCGGGAGGGGTTAATGCCTGATATTTTTTTTCCAGCTCTGGATAGCATGGTTCAGATTTGGTTTAAGTCACAAAGCCGCGCACAATTCAGTTTGCCCGACTGTTCAGGGGAGTGGAACGGGGGAGGGGTTAATGGGTCGGGGTTCGTTTGCAAACCCCACAGCCGTGCTAGGCCTCTTGCCTTCAGGTTTAGTTACTGATGATTCCTGCAGACCCCAAGTCTCTCCGGTGGATCTAATCCGTTGCCATGGAAATCCTGGCTCATGTTGGGAGCAGGGCAAGGGGGTGGGGGGATTGGACTCATTTTTCATTAATGTGATGTCACAAGGAGGTTCCCACCCTAGGAAAGAGAATTTCCTTGTATTGTTCTCCAGGGCCTGCCTATAACTCCACAGCGCTACACAATGGCCTTCTGGGCACAGGGCTGGAATAGATGGGGCAGTGGGGGGAACCCCCTGTGGGGAAGCCAGGGCCCCCATGGTGGGGTTGCCAACTGTCTAATCACACAAACCCAAACACCCTGGCCCCGCCTCTTCTCCAAGGCCCCACCCCACTCACTCCATCCTCCCTCCCTCTGTCACTCACTCACTTTCACCGGGCTAGGGCACGGACTTGGGGTGCAGGCTCTGGGAGGGAGTGTGAGAGGGGGCTCCAGGCTGGGCCTGGGGCAGGGAGTTGGGATGCACGAGGGGGTGTGGGGTACAAGCACTGGGAGGGAGTTTGGGTGTTGGGGGGGACGGGCAGGAGGGTGGGGTGCAGGAGGGGGTGTGGCTCAGGGCTGGGGCAGGGGATGGCGGTGCAGGAGGGAGTGAGGGGGACGGGCTCCGGACGGGCGGCACTTACCTCGGGTGGCTCCCGGGTGGCAGCATAGTGGGGCTAAGGCAGGCTCCCTTCCTGCCCTGGCCCTGCGCCGTTCCCAGACGCAGCCAGCCTAGCCCCGGTGAAATGGATTCAACCCCGGAGGTTTCACTCGCTGCCCAAAGTCACTTGCAATTTCCTGGTTTAATGAGGCTTCCTGTAACACCCTGGGATGGGGAATCTGAAGGAGGGCACTTTGTTGAGTGGTTAAAGCTGGAGACTCCTGGGTTTTATTTCAGTCGCCACCGCTGCCTCATGGAGTGGCCTGGGGAGAGTGTCAGAAAAGCCCACCTTGTCTGTTTTTTCCCCCATTGTCACTGTAAGATGGGCTGATCAGAACCTGGAAGGGGGATGTTGTGAGGTGGGAGCCATCAGCGTGTGTGTTCTGGGCTGCATCAATGTAAGGAATCACTGCCTGGCTGCACTGGGGCAGTTTTCAGGTACTGTAGAAAGCCCATCTTGATGAAGTTCCCTAGCACGTCTCCCGGCCCCAGCCTCCTCAGGATCCTGGCAGGGCTCGTCCTAGTTGTTGCCCTGGGAAAGGTGTCCCTCTGCTTGCTCCCAACCACAGGCAGAGAGGGGTATCAGGACAGACCTTTAACCCCATCCCCCGTGGGTCTGAGGACTTTGTCTCCCTCTGGATTGAAACGTGACCTGGCACGATAGTGCAATTGGGGCCATCTGGGCTATGACCCATGTGCCTGTGTGGAGTCTCATAGTGGCAGAGTTTGCCCATGTGGCTCTGACGGTAGGATCGGGGCCATGGTATAGAGGGTTTTGAATCTCCCTCCCCCTTCCCTTCATTGTTTGCTTGGGAGGTAGGTTCAGCTTCAAGCCTGATCATGCAGCGGTTTGTAATTTTGTGTGTAGGCAAACAGTGAAACTTTGTCTTCGGGGAGCAGTCCAGGGTCAAGCCAAAATCTGCCCGCAGAGCTTCAGACCAGGAAAACTTAAAAGGGAAAAAATCCTATATCACAAACGGCTGGCTCTGCCAGGCAGTGGGTGAAGCCTCACATGGTAGAAATGGAAAGACTTGAACAATCCAAACAGCAATTCCACTGCGCAGGCAGATTGCGGCCTGCCTGAGCCTCACATTTCCCTCCAACAGTGAAGTCTACGCATGCCAATTTCACCTGTGGTGCTAATCAGTTTCACTTTCAGGTTGTCTCTGGTGCAGCTTTGGGCACTCTGTGTGTGGGGGGAAGGGGGTAGGAGAATTGTGAATTGCATTGCATTCCCCACAAATCAGAAGATTGGCTTTAAAATCATGACATTTTAAAAATAATAAAACAGTACATTTAGGTTCTTTCTATTTGCGTCTTGGTTTGAGCCTTTTAGAGGCACGTTTTCCGGTTTTTCTCCCCGCTTACAAGGACTGGAAACGTCCTTATTTTCAAAACCAGTCTCAGGTAGGATGGTCTCTGCCTCAGGCAAGCTGGGGCTTTAAGCATTAGCTATCGCAAGGGTTTGCAATGGAGGAGGAGATGTTTGATTTGTTTTAAAGACATCTAGGCTTTATTCATAGATTCGAAGGCCGGAAGGGATCATTGTGCTCATCTCGTCTGGCCTCCTGCATGGCACAGGCCTAGAGCCGAGCTTTTAGAAAAACCTCCAATCTTGATGTAAAAATTGCCGGTAATGGAGAATGCACCACGACCCTTGGCAAATTCGTCCGTTTCTTCTCTCGCACCTGTATAAACATGGCGCTGCTCCACTGGAGTCACGCCAGCATGAATGAGGTTGGGACTGGGCCCAAAGCAGTTCAACTCAAGCCACAGAGAGATTTCTAACGACTGTACAGAAGCAGAGGGCTGCTGCTCTGCCACCCCGTGCCCCGTTTACACAGACTAGTTCACAGTGGGTAGGGAAACACTACCGCAGTGACCTGGGAGTGTCTTACTCTGGTGTAAGTGAATACACCAGGTGCAAGGCAATGGAGACTGGATAGGATTTCGATCTCCCAATCTCATTTCAGTCCAGTGGTACTTAGACCCCTGGGAACTCCACTCGCCAAGATCTTCAGGATCATGTTGGCGCTGACAGGACTCTTCTACTGCCAGGCGCAACATACTCCGAGCGGGAGCCCTGGGGTTGCATTGAATTGCTCCCATAGTGAATCGTATCCCTGAGCCCCTGACCTGTCCATTCCCAGGACGCTGGCCAAACCCACTCGGCCCTGACCTCGTGCGCTCTACTTTGTAACACTCTGTTTTCTAGTCAGCGAATGACCCTGTCCCAGCAGGGGTGGGTGGCAAGGAGATGCCAATGGGGCTCAGTGATCCCTGGCTCCCAGCCTCTGCCTTTGGGGGGAGGGATAGCCCAGTGGTTTGAGCATTGGCCTGCTAAACCCAGGGTTGTGAGTTCAATCCTTGAGGGGGCCAAATAGAGATCTGGGGCAAAAATCTATCTGGGAATTGGTCCTGTTTTGAGCAGGGGGTTGGACTAGATGACCCCCTAAGGGCCCTTCTAACTCTGGTATTCTATGAGTCTATGATACCAGGCGATGTCACTGAGGAGAGGGCTGGGTCCCTCCCCATGCCTGCTCCCTCTGGTGCGCTAGGGAGTGAGCAGCCAGGCTTGGGCAGGGTGGGGGCAGTTCATTTTAGGCTTTTTATTTCCCCTTTGGATTTGGGGGGAATTTTAGTTTATTTTATTCTTTTCCCTGGAGATGGTGGGGTTGTTTCCCCTTGATTGCCACACTAACCTGTGTCACAGCTGTCTGCCCCCTCGCTCCTGGAAGCCAGTGAGTGTCGGGTGGGGGCTCACTCCAAGGGCACTAACCGGCAGCTCCAAGGGGGGGCGATAAAGCACAAAAGGGGCATGGAGCCCGAGCTACCCAGCTGGGCCTACTTACACCTCTGACCTAGGCCTGCTGTGGAGGGAGTTCATGTGTTTCTCTGAGGGGGGAGTGGGAGGGTTGGAACTTGCCCAGGCTGTGACTGCAGAGGGGACTTGTCCCAGCCTGGGGCGGGTCTGACTGGGGAGGGTCCCCTGTAATTCCTTCCCTGCTAGCCATGGGGATCATGCCACCCTCTGGGATCATTAGCCCCCCCGGCTGCTGGAAGAGACCATTGCATCTTTGGAGCTGCCAGCAGCACCCCAGGCCCCCACTTCTGATCCTGGAAGCTCTCTGCTCCTGGCTCATCTTGAGCTTTGCGCTGCCCTGGCCCTGAGACGCTGGAGTCACCCCCTGCAGGGCACTTGGCAAAGAGCAATGGGGATGGTCAGGGGGCTGGAGGATTGATGGGGGGTGGAAGGGCCAAACCTGCCCACCCTTGAAAGGCCTAATGTCAAGAAGGGGGGGTGGGGCAGCAGGATCTGTGTGCACCGGGTGGGGCAGGGGCATGGGGAAAGACAAAGGTAGGGGGAGATGTGTCCCCAGAAAGTGGAGGGGGTCTCCCCAGGGCCGGGGGGATGCGCCCTGGGGGCTGATCCTGCTCCGGAGGAGGAAGAGGAGCTGAATATGGTGGGTAGGTCTGTGCCAGCTCTGTGCGTCAGGCAGCAGTGGGGGATGCAGAGAGGACACCCCTGCGACTCAGGCCCAGCAGTGGCAGGTGGCGTAGAGCCGGATGCCTACGTGGGCATGGATGGATTTGGATGCAGGGCGAAAGGTTGTGCAGGCAGGAGAGGATGGGAACTGGTGCCTACACAGCTGAGGCCTCCCAAGGCCAGCTTGGGAGGATCCCGGGGGGGGGGGGGGGGGGGGGGGGTTGATTTTTCCAAGCAGGGACGGGGGGAGGTCGGGATGCAGCCTGGACTCTGCTGTTTTGTGCGTGCTTTTCTGCAGGCAGTGACGCACCTTGTGCTGCCCCATTAAAGCTGGATTTTCAGGCTTGGGCCTTGGTGCATTTTAATCATTGGTCAGTTTCCCCCTGGTTATGCCTTGCCCCGCCCAGCTTTGCTGTCCACACTGGAGAGGCAGCAGAGAGAGGGGTGGCAGTGGGCCAGTGCCCTGGGCTAGGAGTCACCATGCCCTGGGTGTCTAGGCCTGTCTCCGCCACTGCCTTGCTGTAGGGCCCTGGGTACGTCCCTTCCTCTCACAGATATGGACAGTGCAGCCATGAATCCCCCTAGCACAGAGTGCTGCAGCCCAACCCCTATTTCCATCCTGCCCTGCCATGGCCCCTGCAGCAGGACTGGTGAGGCGGGCAGGGCTGCTGGCAGCAATTCCCAGCCTTGGGGAGTGAGTGGTCCCAATGTGCCAACAGCACAGGGCCTGGGGTCCCTCTTAGAGGAAGGTTAGCCTGGCTACCAGTGCCCTGAACTGTGAGCCAGTATGACTGGGCTTCAGCTCCCACCTCTGCCAGAGGCTTCCCGGGCAACCTCAGGCAGGGTCTGTGATTCCTGCCTCAGTTTCCCCATCTGTACATGGGAATAATAACTAACTCTGAGGCATGGCTGGAGGGTGAATTGGTGCCTGAGACAGAGGCGCTCAGCTGGTGTGGTGATATATGCCTCTAGATCAGAAGTTCTCAAACTGTGCTCCGAGCCTCCGCAGCCACCAGTGGTCTGCGAGCTCCATTCAGGTGGTCCACGGATAGTTCCCTCTAAGGTGCGTGCCTGGGCGGCTGCGCACAAAAGAATGAAGGGCCATCCACCTAATTAGTGGAGCCTCATAGGCATGGCTCCACTAATTAGGTGCCTGGACCCTGGAAATGGCACACATGTAAGGTGAGGTGGTGGTGTTGGGGGGAA